TAACCCAACCGCTGGGTCAAAACAACCCAATTGCTGGGTTTGTCCCTATTTTACCCAGCACTGGGTTGTATTTAACCCAGCATTTTTTAAAGTGTGTAAATAAACAATGTTGTCTTCTTTCATAAATGTGCTTATTCGTTCATTATTTTACTCTCATGATTCTTACAAAATCACACCAATGTCCAGTGACCGCTGTGTGTGTCCATGTATGTCCCATGACCTTGTGGTCATACACTCTAAAAAATGCTGGGTTGTTTCAACCCAATGTTGGGTCAAATATGGACTAACCCAACTGTTGGGTTAAATTTTGATTACATTTTTAAATTAACTTTTTAACCCAACAGTTGGGTTAGTCCATATTTGACCCAACATTGGGTTGAAACAACCCAGCATTTTTTAGAGTGTAACCATCATGCTTTCCCTAGTCAACATTCACAAATCACTCAGTCAATTAATTGCATCTCAATTTATTTTTAAATGTAAAACAGTCTGTATAGTCAGTCTTTAGAAGGTCTTGTTATTGATGTTAATGAGATGATTGCATAACCTTATTTCTACATTGAAAGTTAATGTCTTTTAAGGTCTGCCACACTGTATATCTCACAATGTTCAACTAACCGAGTTAGAATCTCTTTCTCATCTGCATTTTCCCAATGAATCATAGCAGTTTATTTCACAGTGTTAAATGAGGGATCTGTGTGAACTGCTTATCAACATGAGGTCCGATTTTGCACCGTTTTAAATGTCATTTATGTAATGAACACAGCCTGCAACATTTTCACTCACTGTCATGTTTTGTTTTTGCAAAACAGTTTGTATTTTTCACTAAATGTTGTTGTAAGTTTTTGTTGGTGAAAGTAAGTAACTTGATGCTGTTCTGGTTTGTAAAGGTGTTGAGCTGGACCTCTCAGATTCTGTAAAGCCAGACCGCAACTGAACAAGAATTGCTGTTTGATTGGGGATCAACTTTATGTGCTTTTTTTTCTTTTGTGTGGTCTTGGGGATTTTTACACTCAGTGGCCTCAATATATGTGTAGCCATTTCAGTTTATTATGTGGAGTCATTTGTTCCACATTTCTGTGATTCTTACCTGTACAACAGGCTGGAAATCATAGTGAGATTATTGATTTTACCTCTTCGACTTTCATATTTATGTCTCACTTTCTTTATGACGAGATAAGTTAAGATGTCTGTCATATATCGTAGTGTCTGTCACAGCATAGATGCTCTCATTATCAGTCACTTTAGAGATAGAGCCATCTAAAAATGACCAGAATGATTCAGGCAACAGTGGTGGCTGCCATGTGTAAAGGTATCAAAGTTTCATTTCAAATCAAGAAGATTCCCACAAAAGCACCTTTTCTGTCTTATTTGTACTTGTCAAACATTTCAGATGTGATTAGACATTATAAGTTACTTATTAAGTATAGGAACTGACCTTAAGTTGACCCTTAAGGCCAAGAAATATCCAGTGGACAAGTCGCAGAAAGAAATTCATTCTTATAGTTGACTTTTAACCTTAGGTAGGAATAGTTAGTGTCTTAGTAACACTGTTCCTGGCCTTTTCAGGGGTTGATTTCTTAACACTAGGCTTGCTAATGTGAATGTCTCTTCTGACGCAGTCTATTGTGACAAAGTGGTGATCATCTACTGCATACTTGACTATCATATCTCTGTGCATTTAACATTGCCATTATTATCATTACTTCCAGTTAGAGTTAGTTAGATTTTAAAGGTATATAGGATATAGGTGTAGAAGATAAGTTAACATATCTGTAGATCATATGCTATCAGAATGGATAAGGCAGAGTTAGGTATAAGTGACTTCTGAATGTATTGGATATTTATTTTAATGAAAAA